CTAAATGAGATGCTTGACACAAAATAGTTGCTCAATAAATGTTAATTCCCAGTCCGAGTTACAGCTGGTGAACATGAGATTAGCATTAGGTTTATACTTCATAGAAGTTATTAGATGAATTTAGCATTGTGGTATTAACACTTATCTTTTGTACAGCACTTCACATTTTCTACACTTTTGCATAGATTATCTCAATATAATCAGCCACTGGCATTGGTTCGTAGTGCTTAAAGGATTCCTTTAGTATTTTTACAACTGTCTACTTCCTCATCTTCAGATCTGCTTTTTTCACATTTATTAATTTGAGTTTGTTGATAGAGCAGTAGTATCATTTTCTGTTTTTCAGCATATAATTTTTCAAAGCATATTATAGCTATATGTTAGCCTTAGCTAAGTTTTAGTGGCGCTAGTCATTATTTATAAATTAATGATGGGTAAATGAGTTCAATTTCCAAATAAATATTACTTTTTAAAGATACCTTCATTATATAAACTAGAAACTAATTTTTAAAGTTTACTTAAATTCCCATTTGGTGACTTTATGGTAAATTTTCTTTTACGCTTATCAAGCATTTTTGCTACCATTGTTATTTTGCTAAAATCTCCATATTGTTTATATATATTGTGAAAAAAGTGGTTTATTTTGACTTATTTACTATCTCCTTTGTTTTAAATCTTTTTACTATGTGGTTATTTATATACAAACAGTGATACTAAATTTCTACTGTCTACTAGAAATTGTTTCTTTATGCATCTCTGTCTTATCCTTTAGTGTCCACAATTTTATGAGGCATTTCTAAGGGATAAAGGATTTCCCATCTTTATCTATTCACCATGTGAGCCATTCTAGTGACAAATGAATTCTGGTCAGTGAATCGAGAAGGACACAGATGTCAAAGCCATGAATTTATAAATGGTCTGTTAAGAGGGTGCTTTTGTCCAATCAGCATTTTGTTAATTTCTCCTACAACAAGGAATAATTATTCAATTATAGCTTCTATTTGACAAAAATCAAATGACAAATGTGTCAGAATGTGAAGGTAAAGGGTTAGTCAGGATTCTGGCAGGTGGTTCAAGATTTTAGCCAGCTGTGAGGAGGTGGATATAGAACCAAATTGACCTATAACACTGATTATGTATCCTTATGAATATTCATAGATCTTACTACTGGAAGATTAAAAATAATTTCATTTCTAAATTTTAGCAATATAAAAACTGCTTTTCTGTATTTTTGTGAAAGACAATTTGAAAAATACACAACACTCAAAAATAAAATCATGTTCTTCTTTAGTTTGTTTCTCTTCTAATTACTAACAATTTCAAAATTGTTTTATTACTTTTAGTAAGCTATAATTTTTCTTATAAAAAAGTTATCTTTATTTTTTAATGGTAGTACTAATATTACTTAATGTAGAGCCAGAGATCAGTAAATTTTTTCAGTGAAAGGCAATATAGTAAATATTTCCAGTTTTATAGGCCATAGAGCCCCTGTCCCAACTATTCAACTCTGCCACTGTAGCGCAGTATGATTATAGACAACATGTAAACAAATGAATGTGGTGGTGTTACAGCTAAACTTTATATATTAATACAAAAACTGGCAGCAGGCTGGATTTGATTATGGGCTATAGTCTGCTGATCCTGATAGACTGATGGCATTTTAAAACTTCAGTAAGATTTTAAAAGATATTCTAAAATAGCAGAACTGTATGAACTGTGTTAAGTATCTTGAATGTCTGTGCACTGCACAACTCCAGAGGATATTTGGTTCCCATGAACTATATAGTGTGAATAGCACTCCCTGAAGTAGGACCATATGGTGGCCCTGATAATCCCACCCCCTTCCATTTCTCCTCATTTATATCAAGGGTATGTATGTCTAGCCTGCTGCTTGCTTTGTAGATAAAGTTTTATTGGAACACAGCCATGCCCATTTGTTTACATATTGGCTGTGGCTGCTTTCACACCAACAATAGCAGAAAGCAGTAGTTTCAACAAAAATCATTTTTGCCCACAAAACCTAGATAACAGCACAAAAAAATGTTTGCTGACCCCTGACTATAGCTTTATTATGTTCCTCTTTAATGATGAAATAACAGGGCATAATGTGGGAAAGCTTCTATAATTTTCAGTCCAACAAAGGATATATCAGGAAGTTAGCCACGTACCTAAAGTTCCTTCTAAATTCTTATTTTTTTAATTCAGTGTTTCTCATCTTAAGGATCTGGTTCAGCACACTAAATATACTTCCTTATAGCTGATCCTCTTACTGAGTTAACATTTTCAATAACAAATCAGTTACTTTGAAGAATTTGTATCAATCGAGAATTTAAACAAAATCCAGAGGCTTTACCTGTTTGTGGAAGAAGGGGAGAGTTTGCATGGCAATGGACTCTGGCAGGTGCAACTAGCATACCTCCCTCAATGCCAGTCAGGGAAGACTTGAGAAACTTTTTATCATCAACTTAGTACTAGGTAGTTTTTTCTGAGTATCTCACAAGTTAGGTTTGGTAGCAGTTGCTTTGATGTCAGATCTTAACATGGGCTTTATTTGGAGAATAATTTTGTGCTGCTATCATTGAATAGTAAAATTGGTATGGCTGTGTATAAAAACATTTGGTGGGAGGAGAGGGTAATTTTTCTACTGTTAACATCTGAAACCTGGTCAGTAATCTGGGGTTTTTTTTTTTTTTTGCTGTATTTGGTACATTTATACTTGTTTCAGTTTGCTGATATGAGAACATGTGATTTATATTTTTAATTCATGAGTACTCTAAAAGTTGATATTTGAGATATTGGAAAGACAAGTTAATTCTGTTATTTATTGTAAAAGAAAAAAAGGATCAGCATTATATATAAAGTTTTGTGTTGTGAAGTTCTTTACTTGTTATTAGTGGAGAGTTCCTCCCTCAGTCACTCTTTCCCTAACTCATGTAACACTTACCTTCCTGGTTTTCTTACTTTTGTGGTCCCCGTTTCTCAGTCAAGTCCCTTGAATTCTATTATTCCCTGGGTCTATTATTATTCCCTAGGTCTGTTCTCCTTAGGTCTCATGAACTCCCATTACTTATCTTTCATTTATATGCTTATGGTCTCCAAATTTATGTCTTGAACTTAGCTAATCTCTTTTGAATTTCAGACCTTTATATTCAGCTACATTTCAGGCATTTTTATCTGTTTGTCTCTTAAGCACTAACTGCTCCTTTTCCTTTTGAATCTGCTCATATTTATGTCCTATTACAATGGTTAGTACAACAATCTGTGCTGTTACTAAAGCTAAATATTGTCATCCTTGACCTTTTCCCCCACAGCCAGTCAGTCTCAAAGTCCTCTGAATTCTACTTCATAAATATCACTTGAAAAACTCATCCTTTCCATTCCTACAGCAGTGTCCTCATTCAGATCACCTGGTTTATTTTAACCATCTCTTAGTTTGTCTGTTTTCATCTTAGACCCTCCATTATTCTCCACATTGCATTCCAGGTGGTTTGTCTAAAATCAAAATCTAGTCATGTTGCTGCCCTATGTAAAATTTTTTACCAGATTATCATTATTCATAGAATAAAGTTTAGTTTAGTAATTTGGTTTACTTGGCATATAGACTTACCTTTCTAGCTCTGTGTCTGTTTCTAATTAGATTATATATAGTCTATCCCATCTATTGTGACCCTTTATACACACTGCTGCTCACTTTGCCTAGAATAGGCTTTTCCTCCCCACTCTCAACTTACTGGGCTTCAGTTCTTATCTTACATATTATCCCTTCTCCCCTTCTCCAGCCAAGTATGAATTAGCTGTTGTTATATGTGAATTTTCGGTACTGCAAAAGAAGTAGCACTCGAATATAAATTTAATTTTCTCAGCAAGACAACTTTACTTTTTGCAGAAAGGGTGCTCCCGTTAGTCATCTTGCCATCTGAGGACACTGAACAAAGGAGGCGGGGCCATTTATATCTAACATATCCGCCCTGCTGCTATGTTCTGATTCCATTGGCTGGAACTGCACTTTACACTCTAGGCTGTACCTGATTGGCTGACAACTTAAAACTTTCCTAATGAGGTAAAGGCAGAGGAGAGCAAAGGAAAAGAGGAAGTAACTCGAGGAATGCTTAGAGAAGCAGTAGCATTTCCAAATATGGAAGGGGAATAAGCTTTGACCTAACATTTGCCTGGGCTTGTCCAGGCATGTCAGTGCAAATATCTAGGCTAAAGTATACGAACTAAGAACATTGGATACACTTATTTCTTCATTTTGAGTAACAGCTACTTTAAGATTATTAGCAAAAACTTTAAAATAAATTAACCTTTGAATAAACTTATTTATTTGTATTGAACTTAGAGGAAAGCTTTGAAGAGGAACCTTTTATTTATTCTTATTTCCTACAGCTGTTTTTTGCTGTGAGCTCCCACAGTACCTTGTACACTCCTGTTCTTAGTATTTATTACCTCACAAATAATTGTGCATTTCTTTGTCAAAATTTTCTAAATGTAAGTTTATTGAGGGTAGCGTCCATACTCTGTAAATTAGATGGGCACATATGTCTGGCACATACTTGATGCTTATATTTTTCTATTAAATGAGAAGAATATGAACTAGTCTTCTGTATAACTATAAAACCCCATTACATGATTTTATTACATGCTATATATCTTTTTAAATGATTTGCCCCTTTTTGCATGTTTTTAGAGAAAAATAGGAATAAGTAAAGATCTAGTACCTTTTAAGTTAGCACACTTTAAGTTTTAATATCAATAAATACGTTTATTTCAGGATTGTTTAATTCTATGATCCCATTTTAATTCAGACCGTCTCATTGGAATCCCTGTTTTAATCTTAGCATCATGATAATGGGTATCTTTTTTTAAAAGAGGCTACAAGATGAAACCTGATTGTTTTTCCTGATCTTTAATCTCCCACTGCGAGTAATCCTTACTGGATTTGGTAGTAGCCTTTTAAAAATTATATTTCATAATAAAGGGAGCTAATGCTTAATTGTCAGACATTTTATTTGTTACAGTCTACCCTGACATTTGCACTATCAGCCTTGTAGCGGTGAGTGATGTGAATAAACATGCTGAGAGAATTGCTTTTTGGGATAATGTCTATGGCTTTAAGATGTCCTGCATGAAGAAAGCTGTTATTCCAGAAGCTGTTGTGGAAGTTTTAGATCCGAAGACTCTCATTTCAGAACCTTGTGGTATTAAGGTAGGTGCTCTACCAACTTTATTTTTTATAATGGTATTGCTATTTTTCTTAGTTCAGCATTTGAAACATATTTGAAAATAATATATTGATTTTATATGTGGGCTTTCAAAACAGTACCCTTCTCTTTATAATCAGTATAAAACAAATTGAGGTCATAATATTTACCAGTTGACTATATCATCTCTTTGGAATTACTTCTCTCTATATTAAAACTCCTTACACTCAGTTTTACAATCCTTCAAATCTAACTCTGAACTGATTGAATAATTTATATTTACTTTGCCTTAATCAAGGTAAAAAGTCCTTCTGTATTATCATTTCTGCTTCATCACCTCCTCCTAGCCTGATTTACAGCCAGATTTTTCATTCATATTATATATTCCACATGATTTAACTTCTCTCATTCAGATTTCTTCCAGCATTATTACGTATAGTGAATTTGCCCATGAAACTAAAGCCCTTCTATGTTCAGATTTCTTGGTTACTTCCTTTTGTGTTTTGTCATCTTATTTTTTGCCATGTTAATCTCTGGTTTTATTGTGAATTTTTTTATGTTGAATTTACATGGGTTCACTAGTTACTTTGCAGCAAAAAATAATATTGCTTTTCTTAACTCCATAATTTGTCTGTTTCAACTAGATAATCAAATAAATATACAGTAATATGTTCAGTGTTAGGTTCAGGATATTTCGTCTCTGTTTTCTTTTTGAGACCCAGCCTCACTGTGATACCCAGGCTGGAGTGCAGTGGCATGATCTCGGCTCACTGCAATTTCCGCCTCCCAGGTTCAAGCGATTTCCTTGCCTCAGCCTCTCAAGTAGCTGGGACTACAGGCATGCACCACCATGCCTGGCTAATTTTTTGTATTTTAGTAGAGATTGGGTTTCACCATGTTGGCCAGGATGGTCTCAATCTCCTGACCTTGTGATCCGCCTGCCTCAGCCTCCCAAAGTGCTGTCTTCTCTTTTTAATCATGCTGTTACTTTCATGTAGCATCAATATTTCTTCTCTGTACAAAGTAGATATTTAGTACATATTTAATTTTCTTAAATGGATAAAGCATTAAAAGTTAGTATAGAGTAATAAGCATGAAGTTTCTTAAGAGTAGGCTGATTAAAATTGCATTCAGCTTTTAAGAAAAAAAAACAGTCTGTTTGATGGTTATAAGAGTCTTCAGTCAGTACTCTGGTACACCAATTGTAAAGGGTTTCTTTGGACTCTTTGGCTAAGGATAGGAGTGTACCATTATAACCAATTAAGCCTTAAGGTTAAGCAGAAAGAGGAGAGTTGGTGGAGGTTGCTGATTTCTCTCTGTACTGATCTCTGCTAAATGCAAAAACTACTATGAATAAATAGTTGAAATAGAAAAATTTAGAACTGAAAACAAGGTGTTTAAAAATGTATGTACCCCCTTCATTAAATATGTATTTAAATAAATAGTTTGTTCTTTGTTCTCCAGTCCTCCTACAAACACATTGCACTTTTAAAATTTTTTCTGAAATTGTTTTAAATACTGCCTCAGGTGTGTGGTTACATTAACTGCATTCACTGGGTTATGATCTACTCCTGGCTGGTCAGCTGATGACGGTCTTTACAGCATACTTCTGGTTAGACTGCTTAGTTGAAAGGTCATTCCATTTCTTTTCCAAAGTATAATGGAGAAGGATTTGGAAAAGAGCAGAATGGCAAAATAAAGATACTTGGCTGTTTTTTCCCTGGGATGAATCACCATAGTTAGTTTTGCTGTTTGTTTAAATTGAGTGGTTTTTTCTCATATCTAACAAAAGCTATCTTCAAATACAATTATAGCCATGAATTTTAAAACAACTTTCTTTTCATTAGCATTTATTTTCAAGTTGGCAGTTTCTGTAAATATATTGACTGTTATCACACGATTTATAGCAATTATGGCAAGTATACTATACACAGTAGGCAACATGCTGTTAGGTGAAACACAGGAAAACATTTTTTTTTAAGTATTTATTTTAGTGTGTCAGGAAAACTTTAGCACTTTAGAGCTATGATTCACTATTATTTACTATAGAGTATTATTTACTATAATACTATTGCTTACAAGGAGTCTTAATTATGAAAAAGGAATTTGATTTAAATAAAAATTAACAAAATGGAAGTACTAGTATTCATTAAACGTATAAATAATTCCAAAAACTAGTGTGTGAATGGTTAAAGTTTCAGAACATTGGTTTCCAATAATCATTTGTACATAAAAGAAGTAATGTTTATCTGGGTTGTTGGGGTTGGTTTTTTTTTGGACTATTTTTACTAAGCTCTTTCTTCCACTCCTTTTTCATGGGTAGTATATAGATTGCCATACAACGTCTATCTCAGATTTGGAGTTTTCGTCAGATTTTACCCTGAAAATTACAAAGACATCCATGTGCACGGTAAGCTGTTTCATTCTGCTTTCATAAATTTCACTAGCAGTGCAGTTGATTGGCAGGCTAATGAGCTTAATTACCAGGCTTGTGACAAATGAAAACGACTATTGCTCTGACAGTCTACCATGACCTTCATTAGGCCATTGAACAGATCTGGTTAATAGGTCAGTAAAACCTCAAAAAGTTTAATTCAGTAGAAAAAGTATTAGGAACCCCTGTTTACATAATGGTTTTATAGAGTCTTTATTATTTTCTATCACATAGTCAGGAACACTCAACTTTATCTTCAAAGACCAAAGTTCATACCCTATTCCTTCCTTTAACTCTTAACATTTAATTTAGATGGAAGATATGTTTATTTGGTAGAATATTTTATATTTATATATGAAAAATTACTAACCTCCTGTTGAGTTAACTTTCTTTCAAAAATCAGCTTGGTCTAATAGAAAAAATGCTTTGGAAAAATTAGGCAGATCTTGGTTCATATGTCATTTTACCACTCGCATTTCGTTGTTCAAGTTACCTAAGTAATCTGTGCTTCAGACTATTTTGTTGCTTTAAGAAAAATGGGGATAATTCTATTTCAGTGTATCATTACATGGATTAATGAGATATATGTGAAGCACCTACCATATAGCCAGAAATGTTAGCTTACTAAAATATAGAAGTTTTTTCCTCTCTGAAATAATTTATAAATGTTCATTATTTTTAAGATAATATTTACTGCTGTCAGGATACTCATATTTTTAATAAAATGTGCTCCTTAAAGTATGAGTTTATATAGGTGGTATTAACATGAATATTTATATTATGTTAAAAATAACCATGGTTTTTAAAACTATGTCCTCAAAAGTTAACATTTTTATGGAAACTTGTATTGTCAGAATCTGTAAAATAGATTATAAGTCATGTTAACATTGAGTTTTCTGCCTACTTCTTTTAAATACTTGGTTCAGATTGATATACACAAGACTTCATGTGTTCTTTACAGTAGTTTCAGTTCATTTTGATTCAGTGATTATTTTATATCCAAATAAGTTTAACAATGTACTTTGATGTTTTGAGGGATTCTTCTTTTAGTTGAAGTTGGTTTTATACTTTTTTAAAGTTTAAATATCTAGATTCCAGATTTGTGACTTTGGGGCACTCATCGTAATCATTTGTTTAATTAACAAAAAGCAAAATTTGATTCTTTTTATTTTCCATGCATTTTCTAATTCTGCTTTTTAGTAATTTAAATGATTTTTGTCAATTGAAATTAGAGGCTAAAGACTTTAACTCGTAGACTTTCTCTTTGATGTTAATACATGAGAGTTAAAAGAAGACCATCCTGATTAATGAAAATTCATCAATCATCTGTAAAAGAATTCCTAGATATAAATTGTCATATCACCAATATTAAATATATATTTCAAATATATTTTCAGTAACTATCACATGAATCAAAATAGAACAGATGTAAACCTCTAGTGAAGATGTCAAAAATTGTTTTTAGTTGTACATATTTGTGAACTCTATATAGATAGAAGAGTTTATTGACTTTGATTGAAATGTTCTTTTTTTCTGGTTTATTGATCAGGGTTCTTAGCTCTTAACAACATAATTTAGATCAGCTTGTTTAAACTGAGAGATTTATTAGAGAGAATACAGTAGTTTCCAGATACATTGGGAGAGCCAAAGGAACAGACTGTATTTCAAACTTCTAGAAACTTCTAGAACCACACCTTTGGCCTGCTACAAGGCCCCTTATTTTAAGTAGCCTACCACTATAGGTTCTATTTACCCTAATTCCCCTGGCCCACTCAGTGTTAGCCACCACTGACAACCCCAGATGAACAAAACCCTTTACTACCATCCTGGTTCCTGGCCCTCTGTCCTCCCAACCCATGTAGGCCATTTTTTCCTTCCAAATCTTCATTCAGCATTTCTGCTTGGTGAATCTAGGTCTTGTGGGACTCTAGCTGTCAGTAGGTTTTGGAGAGCAGTTTTAACTACAGCTTTATACTACAGATCTAGAGTTTCATAACATATATGGAATTCTTTTCTATTTCCTGGTATTTGGGATTGAGTACAAGAAGTTTTGTATGAAAAGCAACTGTATCCTTTAGTCATCTTAGTTTTATTCCGTATACTTAAAAGAGTAAAAGGAAACAAAACAAGAAAATAACTGGTAAAGTCTCTTTAATTCAGAGATTGGAATTGAACTTTTAATATTGAAGAATGTAAGTATCAAATAGTTACTTGCTTCATTTGTTCCTGTACAAAGAGTTCCATAAGAAAAATGAATTATAAGTAAACTATTACATTATGTTTATAAAGTACATTTTATTTAGATTTGCATTTTTTTTCTTAACTTGACTGAATGGTGTTTATGAAAAAAGTTTGGAAATTAGGTGAGCCTGAGGTTTGTGAAGAAGGTGGCAGGAAGTTGGAGTGGAGTTATAGGTGTATGGTATAACCTAGTTCTGTAACTTACTTCACAAAGAATGTATGAAGAATATATTGTTATAAACCCTTTATTGGATGCATGCCAGGTACTGAAGATAAAACATGTTAGTAGTTAGCATTGAATGTTAACTCTTCTGACATTATCCTTTCAAACTTAGTTAATATTATCAGAGGAAGATAACCTATATCAACAGTCATTGAATACTTGAATGTCAGATAATGTGCTAATCACTTTAAAGTATTATTTAGTTCTCATAACCATTTAAGGTGGGTACTGATATTATTCCCATTTTACCGGTGAAGGAAAATATTACTTTGTTTTACTTGTGAAATAAAATCTCCTTACTCTTTCCTGACCCCAAAAAAAACCTTCTTTGTGGGATTGTACAAACTATTAAAAGAACAAAAAATTAGCCGGGCACGGTGGCGCGTGCCTGTAATCCCAGCTACTCAGGAGGCTGAGGCAGGAGAATTGCCTGAACCCAGGAGGCAGAGGTTGCGGTGAGCCGAGATCGCGCCATTGCACTCTAGCCTGGGTAACAAGAGCGAAACTCCGCCTCAAAATAAATAAATAAATAAATAAAAATAAAAGAACGTAGAGAAACCTATGAATAAGATCTCACAGGGGTAGAAGAAAGCAGGCTTCATGTTGCATTTGAAACAGATTTAACAATGTTTATTTTTGGCAAATAATCCAGCAGTTGGAATGAAGAGGGAAAGAGATGTATAATCTGAATGCACTTTTCCTTTGAGACAGACCTCACAGATTTATGTGATGAAATCAGTCCCATAGTTCATCCTCTTTGCAGCAGATAAAAAGTAGATCTTTGAAGTTTTTCCTCATCCTCTCAGAATAAACTTACACTTATTTGGCTAAGCATCTGCATTTCTTGGAAACCATTTTCCCAGCAGGAGTAAGATTTTGTGGCCTAATGCTTTTATTAGGTTTTCATTTTTTGTGTGGGTCTCAACTATCCACCCATATTTATTTCAATTCTCTTGTTCTTTGGGGTGTTGTAAACTCTTTACCCTCCCTCTTACAGACCTGTGTGTCTGGAGCTACTTAGGCAAGCATGGCCTGTAAGACTACTTTTGAATAGATACATTAGTCACCCAGCTTATGTGGGAATAATCCATAACAAAAGTATTAAAAATGATGAGTACCTAATTGGAACTTTGTTTCCCCTTTATAGTTAGAAGAATTAGTGAAGATATTTAAAAAGTTTTTTAAAAGCCTAGTAAAGGAATAAATAAAGTAACTTTGGGGAGTAAGAGGAAGAGTTTGGGCATTTTTAGATAGAGGGAAGAAGAATATCAATTTGTACTGCTAAGTACAAACCTTCAGATATTTAATAAAATACTGCTTTTCTCGTGTTGAAACTTGAATGCTTAGCTACTGATTAAGGTGGAGAATTTCTCTATTGTAGTTAGCCCAGTTTAAAAATACGTATAACTTTTCTTTTTTTTTTTTTTTGAGACAGGGTCTCACTTTGTTGCCCAGGCTGGACTGCAGTGGCATGATCTCAGGTCACGGCAATCTCTGCCTTCTGGGTTCAAGCGATTCTCCTGCCAGAGCCTCTCTAGTAGCTGGGACTGTGGACGTGCACCACCATAGCCAGCTAATTTTTGTATCTCTTTAGTGGAGACAGAGTTTCACTATGTTGGCCATGCTGGTCTTAAATTCCTGTCCTCAGATGATCCGCCCACCTCATCCTCTCAAAGTGCGGGGATTACAGGCATAAGCCACCATGTCTGGCCATAACCATTTCTTTCTTTCTTTTTTTTTTTATATTGCATTTTAGGTTTTGGGGTACATGTGCAGAACATGCAAGATAGTTGCATAGGTACACACATGGCAGTGTGATTTGCTGTATTCCTCCCCTTCACCCACATCTGGCATTTCTCCCCATGCTATCCCTCCCTAGCTCCCCGCCCCGGCTGTCCCTCCCCTATTCCCCGCAACAGACCACAGTGTGTAGTGCTTCCCTCCCTGTGTGCATGTGTTCTCATTGTTCATCATCCGCCTATGAGTGAGAACATGCGGTATTTCATTTTCTGTTCTTGTGTCAGTTTGAACCATTTATTTCTTAATGAGATTATAAATGTGTGGCCTAATTTAAAAGTTAGACAAAATTGGATCTTACAAAGTTACAGGATGCTAAGAATACCATTTTGTATTTTATTTTAATAGCATGTATACTACAGATTGATAATGCTTTTAGATAGCTTCTTTAAGATTGTTAGAACCTTTCATGGAAAACATTTTCTTTTGCAGTCTCTTCCACCGCCATATACATACATTCCCAAATGCCACAGATGAAATTTGATGGTATTTTAATGTTTTACATTAACAGACTTTATATTTTAGGAATATAACATGACGTGATATTTATATGTAAATATCTTGAATCTTGGTTGCCTATAATGATTGAAGGATAATTTTTCAATGAATACTCATACCACATACATAGCAATTTTCTGAACATTTCTTTATTCTAGGATATTTTTGACAGTTTAGATAAAATTGTCATTGCTTTTATGATAGAGTATGAATGTTT